AATAATTTAGGTTTTCAAATTTTTATGATTAGTATTAGTAAGCCTAGGCCCATCAAATTAACTCCAGGAAAAATCACTGCCTTATATATTAAAAAATATTTATACTTTAGTCGTTAATATACAAGCAAAGTAAATAAAAAAAGAGAAAAAGTTACATAGAGTAACTTTTGTTTTTCTTTAAATTAATTTTTGTCTAACCATTCTCAAAGTTGCATTCCCAGAATACATTAAAAAATTTATTTTTTTAAAATACTTGGCCGTCACCCTTTAACATAAACCTAGTTTACAATTATTTATTTGTAAATTAAACAATCAAATTCTAAATTTACTTTTTTTTATTAATCTCTCGGTATTCAATAACTATATTAGATTTTAATTAATTTGAAATTAAACTGTGTTGAACTCAATAGAAGAAAAATTCACTCAATATTTATTTTTTCATTTACAAAACTTAAATTCAAAATTTTATTTAAAAAAAACTGTACTCCTTTTAAATTTATCTTGTTTAAATCACTGTTTGTACCCATTGCCTATTTTCCCCAAAAAAAAAAGAAACTACTTGTACCATTTCTCGGCAAAGGAAATTTGAAGAGTGGTGTAATTTTTTTTTGACAGTGAAGAGTGGTGTAATTTTCTATTCAATGAAAGGTAATTTTCCTCGCTGGCGCACCGTCCACTCCACGACCGATTGGGGCCAACTTTATGCAACCCACGAGGCATGTCTCGACGTGTTGATGTTAACCTGGCTGGGTCCCCTGAATCTGAGACCGTCTTTGTCTTTTCCCCGCTCTCTCGCAGCACCACGGTCCATGGGTCCCTTTCTTCATCATCACTTTGTTTTGAAACTTCGAACACACCGAACCCCCAAATCTAACACTCGAAATAGACACTGTAACCACTCCATTTCCCTCTCCGCACTCCATGTTTGGTTTCTGAATAGCAAAACGCAACATCACATTTTCATGGAGAAGAGGAGCTGAAAACAACAAGACAGCGACGATGGCTTCAAGTACGTATCGAAATGGCGCTGTACGAAACTCCTCTAATCCCAAATCATCGTCGCTCAAGTCGAGGATTCCTCCCTCGCAGCCTTTTTCGGGATCTGCGATTCGACGGAATAGCTCTCCATCGTTTGGTTCTGCCGCTGCCGCTGGAGACGGCGGAGGTTAGTTTTGGCGTAATCTCCTCGTTCATTGTAAATTCTGATGTTGCGAATGCACCTAGGTTTTGTCTTCAATTTGTTTTTGCTATTTCGATCTAGAAGCTTCTTGAATTGGATTCCTTCATCTTCAAATGTAGTATTCGGGATCTGCGACTCAGTTCAGGTTATTAATTGGATTTGGTTGAGCTAAAACTCGTAATATTAACCTAGAAGTAGGCATACTCGTGCGAACTGATTCATGAGGATAACAGATTGGTATTTAAGCCTTTGATCTTGTTTCCCTCCTTCGTTTCATGCCCTAAATATTCTGCTTGCTTGCTTTCTTTGTGATTCTGTCCAGTGCCTGGGCGAGTTCGAGTAGCAGTAAGATTGCGACCTCAAAATGCAGAAGAGTTAGTAGCAGATGCAGATTTTGCTGATTGTGTAGAATTACAGCCAGAGGTGGTTCTCACTCCTTTTAACCTTAACCTTGAACGATTATGTTTTGTTTTAGTCTTTCTTTTGATCATGAATTGTGTTATGATTTTGTGCCATTACAGCTTAAGAGATTGAAACTTAGGAAAAACAATTGGGATTCAGACACTTACGAATTTGATGAAGTGTTTACCGAGTTTGCCTCGCAGAAACGTGTTTATGAAGTAGTTGCTAAGCCGGTTGTGGAGGTCTGCCTTATTTGTTATTTCATATAATTTTAGTATGGTGTGTCCTTATGTTAGGCACTCTATCTTTTTCTATTTTCTGTAGCCATTGTTGAATTATGCTTGTAGATTGTAATTACTTTTTGTTGTTTATTGTTTTACCCCGTGATTAACAGAGCGTTCTAGGTGGTTACAATGGGACTGTGATGGCTTATGGTCAGACTGGTACAGGGAAAACCTTTACTCTTGGAAAATTGGGGGAGGAAGACATGTCTGATCGGGGAATTATGGTCCGATCAATGGAGGATATTCTGGCAAATATTTCACTAGAAACTGATACTGTCTGTGTCTCCTATTTGCAGGTGATTCAGCTCATACTTTACATTCTCTTGCTGTTCATTACGCTAATTTGTTTATTTAATAAGATCTTTTTATTTGTGTGGTGCCTATTGATTTATACATCTTTTATTATTATTTTGGTCACAAAAAAGTGTTGTGCAGTCTGGACTGCAAAACAGGGAACTCTTTTGGTAAATTGTGACACTGTTTGTTTGTATCAACTGTGGATCAATATTTTAGCTAAGTTGGGCCTTTTCATCTTCTGATATCTTTTAAAGAACATTTTATTCACGACATATGTTTGCAGCTTTATATGGAAACAATCCAAGATCTCCTTGATCCGTTAAACGATAATATTTCTATTGTGGAGGATCCAAAAACTGGAGATGTTTCATTGCCTGGTGCAAGTCTTATAGAGATCAAGGATCAGCAAAGTTTTATGGAGCTGCTGAGAGTGGGGGAAGATCATCGAGTTGCAGCGAATACAAAGTTGAATACTGAATCTTCTCGTAGTCATGCAATTCTGATGGTGACTAATTATTTTGTCTTGTTCTGTTCCTTCGCCCTAAAACTTCTAAGTTTTGCCAATATATCCTCTTAATAGTTTTATATTGCTTTATGGTGTCCTGTAGTGAGATCTTATACATTTAACTATGTTAGTGCAGATACATGTTAAAAGATCAGTTACGGAAAAGGAAGATGTTAACCCAAGTGATAATGAAAACTCCTCTCATTTTGTAAAACCTTTCAAGCCACTTGTTCGAAAAAGCAAGCTGGTCTTGGTTGATTTAGCAGGTTCTGAACGTGTTCACAAGTCAGGTACGTATGACTTACATGGTACCTATGCAAATAATTTGTCTATCTTTTAAACACAAGCCAACTATGTAGCATGGCTCTTTTATTCTCTCTTCTTTTTTTTTGTGTCTAATTTTTAGTTATTAATTGTTATGAGGGCTGGTTCTATGGGAAAATTTTTTGTCAGCAGTTTCTCCTAATGAGGTACTGTGTTTTATATTCTCTTCCTTTTTTTGCAGGAAGTGAGGGGCATATGTTAGAGGAAGCAAAGTCAATTAATCTTTCACTGAGTGCACTAGGGAAATGCATTAATGCTCTAGCAGAGAATAGTGCTCATGTCCCATTGCGTGACTCAAAACTTACAAGGGTGCTTAGAGATTCTTTTGGAGGTGAGTTATTTATTTATTTATTTATTTTTTGTGCAAATTGAAATGTATTTGGCCTAGTTATGGCCCCAAAAAAGCAGTTAATGCACATGCATTTTTTTAAAGTTCTAATCTTTGTATTTTTTATCAAGGTCTTAATCTGTTTTTGTTATCATAACATATATTCTAGATGGACCTCTAAGTACTTGCTATTCAATTGCAGGAACTGCTAGAACCTCTTTAATTGTGACAATTGGCCCCTCCCCTCGACATCGAGGAGAGACTACAAGTACAATATTGTTTGGCCAGAGGGTGAGTTCTTATATCTACAACGGCTCAAAATTCAACCCCTTCCATTTCATGGCCAGTGTTTTCTTGCTAAATTTTATCCTTGCCTCTTTATTCAAATAGACCTTGACATCATTCCTTTGGCCTGCTTCTTGTTTCAAATATATGATTGCAGAAATATCTTGACTAGATTATTTTTTTAATAGAATCACTTTGCGTTTTTCCTCATTTCTTGTAGGCTATGAAAGTGGAGAACATGCTGAAAATCAAGGAAGAGTTTGATTACAAAAGTTTGTCTAGAAGGCTTGAAATACAGCTGGATAAGCTCATTGCAGAAAATGAAAGACAGCAGAAAGCATTTGACAGTGAAATTGAAAAGATAAATTCTGAAGCTCAGAATCGTATCTTAGAGGTTGAGAGGAACTTTGCCGATGTATTGGAGGTTAGTTGAACAATTCCCTTCCCACCATAGAGAAGATAATTGTTGTGTTATTCCAAATTCCACTCTTGTTGGTATTTTACCATCATCTTCTTTTATGTTGAAGTTCCTTTCCCATATTGTTCTCTTGTGTTTTTCAATTTCAACTAATTTTTCAATTTCCTTTTCTAGAAAGAGAGGTTAAAGTGTCAGATGGAGTACATCGAATCAGTTAAGAAGTTAGAGGAAAAGATGATAGAAAATCAAGGAAAGCATGGCTGTAATGGCTACATCCATGCTAAATGCATTGGAGAGGTACTCTTCTTTAAAATCCTTTTTTTGTTCTGTGTTATCTGAGTTAATGTAGTGAATTTGTGATGGTTTCAAATATCTTGGCATTATTTTCAATCTAGATTTTGAAATTATATTTTTATTTACACTTTTTTGTCCCTTCCTCATATTTTCAGGGGCCTGAGGTTATCATTTCTGAGGATACTACTGAACTTAAAAAACAGCTTGAGAAAGAAATTCATGGGAGAAATGAAGCTGAAGAGGAAGTCAACAAGCTAAGAAGTCAACTAAGGCAATTCACAGAAGCAGGGGTATGTCTTTTGTCAAACTGACTTGAATTTGTGTTTGAAATTCTCAAATTCTTGAGCTTCAGTGATTTCTAAGTGTGGAGTCAGCTTCATGTGTGAGGATTATTTTGGTGTTCTAGGCAGGTGGAGATGCAGAAATCTTAAAGCTTCAAACAGTTCTGGAAAATGAAGTTCATCAAAAAAAGAAGCTTGAAGAGGAAATAATTATACTTAGAAGCCAGCTGTTACAGTTGACCTTTGAAGCTGATCAGGTATCTGATCTATAGGAATTAAACATGATTTTTAACTGTTTTAGTTTCAACAGGCTGAGTATTCTCCAATGGTTAACATTAGCATGGAGATCTGGTGGCTGGTATCAACTGCAATTCTCTTAAAAATTGCACATCTCAAAAATAACATAAAATTTTGCTGTGACCATTTTTCTGATGACATAAGGCCTTTTTGCCATCTTCTAGCTTTAGCTCAGTTGCCTGTCCTTAGCCACTCTGCATAAGCACGGATATACTTTGTTTACCGTTTCAATATTTTATCTTTATAGATGAGACTGTGTCTTGAGAGAGGTGGGTTCGCAAATGGTTATGCTGACCTAGCTTCACCGATGTCTCAAATTAATCATTCTCAATTCAGAGAGCCAGGGAATGGAAAGAAGACTCCAGTTGCATCTCTCTTTGAACAAGGTGATAATGTTTTTCTGTGGTAATGTCAATTAAAACTATCTTAAGTTCATCAATTTGTTAATTTTTCTTTATAGCAATTAATTTAACAGTTGGGCTGGAAAAGATCTTGTCTCTGCTTGAATCAGACGATGTCAATGTACAAATTCATGCTGTAAAAGTAGTGGCCAACCTAGCAGCTGAAGGTGAGTTGTGGGTTGCACTTTACATCTGTCCAAAAAGTTCAGTATTAGCTTTGGGCATTCTATGTAGTTCGAATTATTATCAAACAATGTTCTTTTTACCATCAAATCTTATTCATGATTTATGTTTTATACTTAATTGTATAATTAACAATAAATTATTATTCCTTAACATTATCTAAATAAGCAGAGTCAAACCAAGAAAGGATTGTTGAAGCTGGTGGTCTTGATTCCTTGTTGATGCTTCTTAGAAGCTCTGAGGACGAAACTATTCGTAGGGTAGCAGCTGGTGCAATCGCCAATCTTGCTATGAATGGTAGTTGTTCGGAGATGTTCTTTGCATAGGAGTTGCATGACATCTTTTTTTAATGTTTATACCTTTTTTTTGGCAAACAGAGGCCAATCAAGAAGTCATAATGGCTCAAGGTGGAATCAGTTTGTTATCTATGACAGCCTCTGATGCTGATGATCCGCAGACTCTACGCATGATTGCTGGTGCTATTGCGAATCTTTGTGGCAATGGTAGATTGCATTATCTGATTTAGTATCTTAACGTTTTCCTCCTTACAAGGTCTTTATAACATTTCTTTTGGTGGTTATAAGAAGGGAATTTAATGTGAATGGTGGAAAATTCTCTATTTTTAAGTAGATTGGAATAGGATTGTCACTTCAATGAGGTATTATGATAGTAATATAGTATTGATTTGATGTTGGCGAGAGGTTGTGGATCTCTAGAGACATGATTAAGTTCCATGGGCATATGCTGGGCCTGAATTTTTTAATGCATCTAGCAGTTTTACTGCTTGTAGTTTCTGTTTCATTAATAAGCACTTACATCTCCCTCTTCCACTAGACAAGTTACAGCTGAAGCTGAGATCTGAAGGTGGAATTAGGGCCTTGCTGGGAATGGTAAGATGCGGACACCCTGATGTTCTTTCACAAGTTGCAAGAGGAGTTGCGAACTTTGCAAAATGCGAGTCCCGAGCTTTTAGTCAAGGTAAATCATCCTGACTTGCCATAATGGTATTGGATAATTGTTATATTTGCTTGCTTTTTATTCTGTCCAAACATTATATTTGCTTGCTATAGTTGGAAAAAAAAAAAGAAAATGGTAATTCATGATCAAGCCAGCTACATAGTTTTGAAGATATTGTTTCAGGTATACTAATTTTTTTCTGTTCCTTTGATTTTAAATGATTTTACACATAGTTAGATTTTTATTTTTTATTTTTTGATCTATGAGACATGAGTGAAATACTCAAATACACAAGTTCCTTCAGAAAGATTTTCATTTTGAGGTGTTGGGACTTGGGCCTGAATACGTGATTTAATGAGTTCATTTTTTTTTCCTGAAAAGGATCATGTCATCCATCAAAATTGCATAAAAGAATTATGAGAAGGATATCATCTTGGTAGTATGAATTTATAATTTGTTGCCCCACACCAGGTATAAGGAGTGGCAGATCTGTTCTCATAGAAGATGGTGCACTTCCATGGATTGTACAAAATGCTAACGATGAGGCTGCACCAATCAGACGCCACATAGAACTTGCCTTGTGTCACTTGGCACAGCATGGTAAGTGGAATTTTCTCCCTTTTAAGAAAAAACAATTTTTGTTGGGTACATCACTTCAAGGCCTAGATTTTTGGATTTTCAGAAGTAAATGCAAAGGATATGATTAGAGGAGGTGCTCTCTGGGAGCTAGTTAGAATATCACGAGACTGCTCCAGAGAGGATATAAGGAGCCTCGCTCATCGGACATTGAATGCAATCCCTGCATTTCGTGCTGAATTGCGTCGGTTACGTGTAGAGTTCTGACCAGAGAGTAACATTGGTTTCAATCACTTGCTGTATGATACATAAAAAATATTTAATCTCAGCGAAGAGGTTTTGAAAGCGGCAATGGGTTTGGCCCGAATCATCACAAAATTTTGATTAAGGAAACAACTAGAAGTGATTTTGCTGGGTTCCCCAGGTATCTTGATTGATGTGATGGGTCGGCGTTGGCCTGAATATTTTCAGGCTTTAAGTTCATCTGGCAGAAGATGGTTTTGCACTTCTTTTAATTTAATTTTATATTCGTAATTTGTCTCTTTTTTTTAATGTTGTATTTGTTTTTTGTTTTTTATTTGAACTTTCAGGCGTACGTAGTTAGGCTCAGTTGTCCATAGGCCCGAATATAGTTGGTTATAATTTCGAAATGTCTTTGTGCGTTGAGCATTGATCTAGACAATAGCCTTGGGGTTGGGACCATGTCAAGGGGCTCGGTCCTATAACAGTTTCTGAACCAGGCTCAATTTTAGATTCTAGTCTGGATCTAGTTGCTCTCGAAAAGAGCTCTTAGTTGGACTTTCACGTTCAAAATAGGTTTTACCGATAGGGCCTGTTAGGCCATAACAGTTATAAATAGTCCAGCTTCTGGGCACAGAGCATTATGGAGTAGTTCAATAGAAATGAACTAGGCCTAGAACAGCCTCACATGGTATTAAAGGATGAGCTAATGTCCAAAAATATTTAGTTATTAAACTGGTTCTTTAAGCGGTCTGGGTGGACCAGCAAAGTTTTAACGAATTGGACCCAATAGGCCATCTAAGTACTATATGCCATTAGGCCCACGTAAGTTAGGAAAAGTTGGGTCAGAGGCGATTAAAGCGCAAATGGACGGGCCCAGAGCCCACATGAGTTTTAAAGACTGGGACTTAGTGGCCCAAAATTCCCGTAGAATTGGGCCAAAGGCCCGTAAAAGAACAAACAACTATCATTGTGGGGCAAAAATTGCCCATGGGCCAAAAAATATAAAATCGGGCCCATGAAGTTCGTAATTGGGCCTGAAAAGGCCATTTCAGAGCAGCAGTGCCCCGTGGCCCAAAAACAAGTGGTCCAAATCAATCGCTACAAAAAGGGGCCCATAAGATTTAAACTTGGGCCGTTGGAGGCCCAATAAGCCCAGAGAACCACAGTGGGAGAAAATCGCCCCACGTGGACACATAATTGGGCCCATCTTGGGAGGCAGGCTGGGGCCTGTCGTCGACAAGCAAATGGGCCAAATCAATCAGAAACGGGGCCCGGAGGTTTCGGTTTTGGGCTGTGGGGGAGGTCCGATAAGGCCCATAGAATCAATAGTTAGGAAAAATCGACACACCGGGGGTTATTAGGCCCATGGGCCACTGCTTGTACAGCAGACTGGGCCCCAAAGCAAATGTTCCAAATTGATCCCTGCAAAAAGGCCCACAAGATTTGAACTTGGGCCACTCGTGGCCCAATAAGGCCCATAGAATCGAGAGTTGGGTAAAATCGGCCCACCAGAGCACATTATTGGGCCTATAGGCCCATTTCAAGAGCCACAAACTGGGCATGTGGCCCAAAATGGGCCAAATCAATCAGAAACAGGCCCATAAGGTTCGAAGTTGGGCCTCGGTGGGCCCACTAAGCCCATTTAATCAAGAGTTGGGTCAATGCTGCCCACAGGGCACATTATTGGGCCCATAGGCCCATAGGCCCATTGTGAGAACAGCAGACTCGGCCTGGACCCAAAAACAAATGGGCCAAATCATTCACGAAGAACAGGCCCATAATATTCGAAGTTGGAGGGCAAGTGAGGCCTACTAAAGCCCATAGAGTTACAAGTTACGCCTAATTGGCACCACCAAGGCACATTATTGGACCCTTAGGCCCATTGAAACAACTGGTACTGGGCTCAAGTTCATAGCTAGCTCAAAAAGTTACAACATTGGGCTTAAAAACTTAAATATGGGCCTGGAGGCCTAATGAAAGTTCAACAAGCTGGGCATGTGGCCCAAAAAATTCAAATACAAATGGGCCCAAACAATCTCACCCCAGAAATTGCACCGACAATATTCGCAGTTCGCAAAAAGAGCTCCCCGAATTCTACATTATTGGGCCCTTGGGGCCATTGAAATTCGAACAACAGGTTGTAGTGGAGATGAATCTCGAAACATATACGCCCAAAAGTTAAGTTCGCAGCATTGAACCAGGGTTTTACGGAATAGGATCTGTTGGCCCAATATATAAACAGAACTGGCCTTCGGCTCATAAGATGTATCAAGAAGTTGGACCTAAAAATTCTGAGTAGCTTTCCGTAAACGAAGTTCCATAAATTGGGGCTCAATTAACCAATTGTTCCCATGAAAAGTCAGTTTTACCCCAACTGACTTAAAAAATTATATTTCCATTTCAGCTAATAGGATGACAATAGGAAAGCAATGAAAAAAATGGACAGAACTAACTTCGTAAATATTTCTAGAGAGAACTCTTTGAAAATCTGGTCAATTATAATTAAATTACTTTTCTGACATAAAATTGTAACAAATTTACTCGATCAAAAATAGATGGTAATATTGTGCATGACATCGATGACAATCCATCGCGGCCAATGCCAGATTACACATTGGTAAACCTTTCCCATGGTCTTGATAAATTCAGCAAGACCCTCATCAATCAATAGTATAATCTGCTAGCTTTAGAAGACAAAAACCAAATAAAACACCAGAACATATTTCTTGTACTTGAGAAAAAGAATAAATAAGATAAAATACCAGAACATAATTTTCTTATCATGCTACATGTATCACTCCATTTCTAACTACACATCCCAAAGTTTGAATATGAAACATCTAACTTGGTAGTCTCAATAATTAACTGTTGGGTTTGTTCCTTCTATTCAATTTTTTTTTGGCAAAACAAAGTTTCCAATTAAGGCGAGATTTATAACAACGGTGTGTAGTTTAATTGTTTTATCTGGAACTCACTAGTCACAATACCACATGCACAGAGATTGTAGGAAAATATTAAGCGTTATATCACCCAAAGTGGAAAAAGGAAGAAAATTAGTGTAGGTGGCAATAAGAACAAATAAAAATAAAAAGAAGACTATACTAAATAGAAAAACAATCAAACTGCAGTCTGCAGGTGACAATAATAAAAATTTTCTTTAAACTAAGAAAAATTCTCAAGATATTAAAGCAGAGCATTAATAAACAGTTCATTTCCTTTTTCTACGTATTCTTGAGACGGTTCCTTTTTTTCTTGGCAAAAATCACAGATTTTTTAGACAGTTGATGTTTGATATATTAGTCATCCGCAATTATGCATCAAATGTACTTGGTGGGGTTGTGTTTAGCTATAAAGCACTCATTATTATAGCCATCATTCACAAGACAAAGTAGCATATAGCAGCCAAAAGAAGAAAGCAAAAAATAAGAAGTAATCATTGATGTGGGAGTCCAAAGAATCCAGAAAATGCGCTTATCATCAACAACCAGAATGGCATTTTCCAAAACCACATATTAAACCTAATGGGAAATGGTCCACCAAAAAAATAATTAATCTTTTCAATGTACTTCTCCAATATATAATATCCTGCTATTGTAAAGATTATTCTAACCTTTTTCTTTATATGTTTTTCAACAGATTCTATAAAACCTTGTACCTTACGAAATTTATAAAACAAACACAATGATGAATAAAATTTTTTTTTTTCTCAAAGTTAAATAAGAATATATAATCTAAAATTAATGAATTTAACATAAAACTTCTGCACGAAAAGGAAAATTGCAAGGAATGACAGAACTGTCTAGATATTTTGATGGAAAAGAAGAAATATGAAAATTCAGCCGATGAAAAACAAAAACAAAGATAAAATTGAAGGACGTCGATCTTATGGCAGAAGAACACGAAACGAAGCCACAATATGACCGAAGACGAAATCTGAAAGTTCAACAAAAACAATGATGAACTTGAAGGACGTTGATCTTATGGCAGAAGAACACGAAACGAAGCAACAACACGATTGAAGAAGAAATCACCAAATCCAGCCGATCATAAACAAAAACAGAGATGAAGTTGAAAGATGTCGATCCTATGGCAGAAAAGATCACGAAAAGAAGAACAATCAAAAGGATTCGAGGAGCTTTCTTCAAGCAAAATAAATCAAATTCAGAAAACTCGTTTCGATTCCTAGAAAAGATCTGTGAAGGCAATAAATACATAGACGAACCACGGATTAACCAGAAAATTTTCAGTTTGCATAATATCGAAGTACACTAGGGTTTCGACGAACATTCAAGCACGAAATCAATCCACAAAAATACCGAGAAATAGCACAAAAACAGATCGAATCAGTAAAATGCAAGTTCGATTCCACAAGAAACTACCAACTTCGGTGGAATTTTTCCAGAGAAAATCAGTAGACAAACAGAATCAAAGAATCAATCGATTTTTCCAGAGAAAATTCTCAGTTCACGAAACTAGGGTTCTAAAAAACACAAAATGGCAGAATCAAGAGTAATTAATCTAGAGAACAGTTACCTTCCGTCGTCCTCCGATTCACTCTCCATCTCCGACGCTTGAACTTCACTCCGGAAGCGGTAACCGACTAACAGCTTTTGGAGGAAACTTAACGCTTGTGGAATTGGGGAGTGTTTGGTTGGCTTTATAAGGAAGCGAAATGGTTTCGCCTCGGAAAGGAAACTTTTGTTGGCACAGCAGCGCACGTGTCAATGCTCATCTCCCAAGCAACAAAGTCAGGAAAACGATAAACGAAGCAAAGCAAAACGACAGCAAAACCCTATGCCCATAACTTCCTAGTTCCAATCTCATTGCTTTTCTACTTCCACTCATGGTTTTCTATCTCCACAACCAAGGCCATCATGATCCAGCCTCCACTGAACAAAATGTATTTTCATTTAAATAAAAAAAAATAACAAAATTATTCTGTTTAACAAATTCATTTTTCTGCATCATGAATTTGAATTTTGAACAATCAAATTAATTGAGGAGAAAGATTAAAAAGACCAAGAGGTTCAAAACAAAAGTAAAAGATATAGATTTCATAAACGTATGTATTAACTTTTAATTTTTGTTTTTCTTTACATTTTTTAATGCATCAAATATTCACTTTTTTAAATTAAAAAAAAAAGAGAGACAAAAATATAGATTTCATAGATGTATGAATCTAAGAAAAGTATTGATGGTCATCTTCTGCAAGTTATATATTCGGATTTTTCCTTCCTATGAAATTTGTTAATCATTAACTTTATTTTCTTAATAAAAAAAATGGAAATTGCCACACTTGAAGAAGAAGAAGGAGGCTATAATTTTTATAAAAGGAAAAAAAATAAACACCAGAAATCCATGAAATTTGTACATCCTTCTTCACTTAAAAGCTCTAGGGGAATCCAAGACTACCTTATAATTATAGAAGAAGAATGAAAGGTGATGAACCGAACAAAAAAAAGAAGCTGAAACTAACAGGAGAAATTCACTTATGTTAAAAAGGAGGGCGAGCTGTGCCCCAAAAGGCCTCCGCCGGTAACTGCACTGAATTTAGAAGATTAGGAGGTAATCCTTGAGTGAAAGATGCATTAGGATCTTGCATTAGCTGTTGTTGTTGCTGCTGCTGTTGTCCAGGGACTCCCGGAGACCCTAACGGCCCACTTCCTGGCATTGCCTGGTCGGGTTGCTCCTCCTCTTCCAATGGAAGTCTTTCGTAAGCCGCATTCGCAAAAGAAGCCGCCATAATCACCACCGGACCAGCTGCTAAAAGTGGACCCACGACACCTCCACCAACCACCTGTCCTTGACCGCCCGCCAGATAAATGGTCAAAGCGGATGCGGCAGGTGGTGCTGGGGGAGGTAAGAATGACCCAGACAGTGACAGGATTTCGAATCTACCGTGCAAGGTCATGACTGCACCAGGCGCCGCCGGCTGCCTCAAGGTTACGTTCGTCACCGTTCCTGTCCCGCTTAGAATGCAAACCCCTCTCTGCCTCCTCCGAGCAAAAGTGGATACACTATCCATGATATCACAGCCGTTGGCGATTTCTATCACATGGGATCGGAGGGCATTGGGGCTGTCCCGTGTAATGATGATTGGCGGCTTGGGCTTGTTCTTGGAGCCTGGGGGTCTGCCTCGTGGCCTTCTCGTCATTTCTCCTTCCCCGGAAGCTATAGCTAGTTCTTTACCATCGGTTCCATCGGTAGCAGCAGTGTTTGGGTTGGTGGTGGCGGCTTCATCGCGATCTCGTTTCTGGCCACGGCTCTCTTCATCCTCAGAGTTTTGCTGTTGGTGTTGCTGAAACTGATGGTGTGGATTCAAGTGAAGATCTCTGGTGAGGAAAGGAGGTGGAAGAGAACGGCCGTGCGATGTTACTGGATTCATTTAATTTCTCTTCTAGTAATAACCGTATACACACAAGAACAAGCGACCTATTTCCTCCCAATGCTTCCTTTGTGCTTTTAAGGAACTGCTGCGCTCTCTTCTGATCTGTGTTCTGCTGGATCAGATGCTGATACTGGAGCTAGCTATCTACCACAAGAGAAGTGTAAAAAGCAGGGGTTTTCATCATCAGACATGACAAGATGCAAGAGAGGTCTTGAATCAGAGCCATCTCTTTTAAATGAGAAAGAATTTTGAGGTGATGGTGTATGTGGTATGAAGATGAGTTTCTGGTTAAGGGTTTGGGAGGAAATGAGGAAAAAAGGGGGGAGGGGAGAGAGTCAGAGAGAGGGGAGTTTTTGGTTTGAGTGATTTGGGGGGTATAGACCGTCTAGTGTTGTTGGGTTAGGGTTAGGTTAAGGCATCCGATGGATGATGGGTTTAGTTTTGGTTAGACAGCGTGCGCATGGACGGTGTGTGGGCCCATCCCCGTTTCTCTCTCACAATAGCGGTCCCACAAACCCATTCTCTCTCAATCTCTTCACTCTTTCTGCAAGATCAAAAAAAAAAAAAAGAAGAAGCCTGGGCCTATAAGATCAGATTGTCCTTTCACTGTTTTCTTATTCTTCTTTTTCATGAATTTCACATCCCCATGTTCCTTGCTACTCCTTATTATTGCAAGACTCTACTGCGTGCTTATTACAAATATAGATGTTGAATTTGAAGTACATATGAAAGGGATTGAAAGGCATAAGGACTGAGTATATAGTAGTACTTTTGTTGTCTGGAAAACCCTTTTCCATTGATGACCTGAAAAACTACCGATTCTTCTCATCACCATCATCAGGTGGGTGAGAACTGAAATCGTGAAAAGGCGTTATTCTGGTTGAAAAATGACAGAAACTGATCATCAAAGCTGTTCAACTTCAATGGTAGTCTTTCTGGTGTTCGATCGAGCGTTACAACAAAATAAAACCAGCCCAGCCAACAAGAGTAAATGAAACTGAGGAGGACTTAGGGGGAAAATGTGGCGAAATGAATCGGATCGGGTCAGGTCAAGAAACGGGGCATTCAATGGAATGGAAGTGCATCATGCATGTGGGTCATGGGAAATTGAAGTGTGCCCCCACCCGAACAAATTGGGTCAGTAGAGTCAGGGCGTGTCTTAAGGGCGACTCTCGTTCCTATGACTCACTCACTCCACCACACTATACATTGATGTTGATGTTTACATTTGTGGACTCTACTTTGTGCTGATCCTCAGACGTGTCTCTTCCCCAACCTCCAATCATCTAAACTTCTTCCCTATATATTCACTAATCCCTGACTTCTTTTTCTTAGTCCCAATCCTCGTTTAGAGCTACATATATATGGAAAATACGAGGATTCATCAGTCTCTATTTTTTTCTTTTACTAACCCGGTGAGACCTTCAAATAAATTTAACATTAAGTTATGATATTGTTGGGAATAATAAATATTTAGTTTCAAATATATAAAAGCAAGCGAAAAAGGGGATTTTTGACATTGTCAAATGAGTATCTTGGCCTTAGCTAGAGTGCTTTTTTGATGTCAACAAGTTCTCCCCCTCCCTAGCTAGAGTCAAGACTGAAAGTTTTATCCTCAAATTGGTTCTTTTGGCAAGAGAGATTAATATTGCTCATAACTTCTACAAAATTGTCATTCATATTTAGCCTACACGTTTGAAAGCGTTATTTGGTATTTTAACTTTTAATTTTTATGTTTTTTTATTATTTTAAAAATATATAAAAAT